CACAGGTTAACTGTATTTCATCGCATAATAGTTGCACCCCTATTATTTAGGTGGCAAGATTGGGATATTTGTGTTCCTTGCATAATAGTCGCGAAGCCATATATTGACAGATTTCCCCCTTCCTTCCAATTAAAAATTAGATTTGAAGGGCTAACGCAGGCATGGGCAAACCTTTGCCCTCTCGATGTTTTGGATTTCAACCCCCACAATTCCAGTCACAAATCAAGGTAACTGACATGTTAACTGTATTTCATCGCATAACAGTCACACCACCGTTTTTTGGGTGGCAAGATTGGTACTTTTGTGTTTCTCGCATAAGAGTCGCAGAGCACTGAAACAATGTCTTCAAAGGTTAATTGAAACCCAGGCAAGTTACACAGAGCACAGGAAGGAATACATTACAATTAACCCAGATCTCTCATGAGCATGTGATGTGCTACTGTCAGTACAGTCATGGTCAAAGTTCGGTCCAAACAGCTCTGCGACTCTTATGCGAGGAACACAAAAATACCAATCTTGCCACCCAAAAAATGGGGGGTGCGACTATTATGTGATGAAATGCAGTTAAATGCAGGAAAGCTCCTACACTAGAAACCTTTGCCCTCCCGGAGTTTTGGATTTCAACTCCCACAATTCCTAACAGCCAGTCACAAATCAAGGTAACGGACATGGTAACTGTATTTCATCGCATAACAGTCACACCACCGTTTTTTGGGTGGCAAGATTTGTATTTTTGTGTTTCCCGCATAAGAGTTGCAGAGCACTYAAACAAAGTCTTCAAAAGTTAATTGAAACCCAGGCAAGTTACACAGAGAACAGGAAGGAATACATTACAATTAACCCAGATCTCTCACGAGCATATGATGTGCTACTGTTAATACAGACATGGTCAAAGTTCGGTCCAAACAGCTCTGCGACTCTTATGCGAGGAACACAAAATACCAATCTTGCCACCCAAAAAATGGGGGGTGCGACTATTATGTGATGAAATGCAGTTAAATGCAGGGAAGCTCCTATACTAGAAATGTTTAAAAAGAACCTTAAAACCTGGCTCTTGGGGAGATGGTGGCGGGGTATAAATAGTTTTTATTATTATTATTATTATTATTATTATTATTATTAAACTGGCTGTTAACTTGCGCTATCACTGACTGTTAGGAATTGTGGGAGTTGAAATCCAAAACACTTGGAGGGCTGAAGCTTGCCTATGCCTGCTGTAACAGGAAGTGAAGACATTTCTTTTACCTTCACATAGACGTGCAGGACGTTGTTGGTCACGGCCGGCGGGCGCGTGAAATCTTCGTACGAATAATCCCAGTCGGTGGTGATGTGTCCCAGGATCTCCACCTCCTTGATGAGCATCACTCTCCTATGGAAAAGACAGAAGGGTCGGCGGACGAGTGACTTCCTGTTGCCATGTTGAAAGGGATGGGAGAAGGAGGCAGATTTTTCTCGGTTTGCTCCGAGGGAAGGGTATATTGCTCCCCGCCATTGAGCTAAAGCAGTGGTACCTGTTGGTGACGACAACGTTGGCCTTCCTTCCTCCCGGAGCTGTGCAGTGGAAGCAGAAGCTCTCTCCTGCCAATTTCTTGATGTGAGAGTTCTGGAGCAGAAAAACAAACATTTTACACCCACGACGGCACACTTCTGTTCTGAGCTGGAAATGCTTACCCACTTGCAAGGCTTGGACCTCATTCTGGAGTAGGGAGTCCATTAAGATCATCTGGGGAGGCCCTGCTCTCGGTCCCGCCTGCATCACAGTACGTCTGGCGGGAATGAGAGACAGGGCCTTCTCAGTGGTGGCCCCTCGGCTGTGGAACGCCTTTTCTATAGAAATTAGATCAGCCCCCTCACTACTGGCATTTCGGTGGAAAGTGAAGACCTGGTTGTTTGAGCAGGCACTCGAATAGGCAGTATAATGAACACAGGAATACGGAACAACGGATGATGAGATTGGATCCTGATGTTACTGAGACGCTAATGAGATGTTATATTGATGTTTAACTGTTTATTATGTTATTATTTTAATTGTTTTTTAACGATTTATTTTTTATTTATCGTGTCAGGGGTATATATGATTATTCCTGGGACATCCGTAGGGATACCAAAGTGCTGGTTTGTAAAGCTATTGTCCTCCCAACCCTGCTATATGCCTGCGAGACGTGGACTGTCTACAGACATCACACTCAACTCCTGGAACGATTACATCAGCATTTATCCAAATGAAGAAGAGAGTGTTTGAGGATCGGGATATCCGTAGGGATACTAAGGTGCTTGTTTATAAAGCTATTGTCCTCCCAACCCTGCTATATGCCTGCGAAACGTGGACTGTCTACAGACGGCAAATGCAACTCCTGGAACGATTCCATCAGCATTTTTCCAAATGAAGCAGAGAGTGCTTGAGGACTGGGACATCGGTCGGGAGACCAAGGTGCTTGTTTATAAAGCTATTGTCCTCCCAACCCTGCTATATGCCTGCAAGACGTGGACTGTCTACAGACGTCACACTCAACTTCTGGAACGATTCCATCAGCATTTTTCCGAATGAAGCGGAGAGTGTTTGAGGACCAGGACATCCATAGGAAGACCAAGGTGCTTGTTTATAAAGCTACTGTCCTCCCAACCCTGCTGTCTGCCTGCGAACCGTGGACTGTCTACAGACACCACATGCAACTCCTGGAACGGTTCCATCAGCATTTTTCTGAATGAAGCAGAGTGTTTGAGGACCGGGACATCCGTAGGGATACCAAGGTTCTTGTTTATAAAACTACTGTCCTCCCAACCCTGCTTTATGCCTGCGAAACGTGGACTGTCTACAGACGCCACATGCAACGCCTGGAACTATTCCATCAGCATTTTTCCAAATGAAGCAGAGAGTGTTTGAGGACCAGGACATCCATAGGGATACCAAGGTGCTTGTTTATAAAACTATTGTCCTCCCAACCCTGCTATATGCCTGTGAGACGTGGACTGTCTACAGACGTCACACTCAACTCCTAAAACGATTCCATCAGCATTTTTCCGAACGAAGCAGAGAGTGTTTGAGGACCGGGACATCGGTAGGGATACCAAGATGCTTGTTTATAAAACTATTGTCCTCCCACCCTGCTTTATGCCTGCGAAACGTGGACTGTCTACAGACATCACACTCAACTCCTGGAACGATTACATCAGCATTTATCCAAATGAAGCAGAGAGTGTTTGAGGATCGGGACCAAGGTGCTTGTTTATAAAGCTATTGTCCTCCCAAC